GAGAGAGAGAGAGAGAGAGAGAGAGAGAGAGAGAGAGAGAGGAAGAATGGTTCTTGGGAGTCTGGTAATCTGCCTGCCACCCAGCTCACAGATTATGCCCCACAGGGAAAATGGGGGAATGATCCTATGGAAAGCCAGCTGGCAATAAGGATGCCTATGGCAGAGAATAGTTTTTCTTTTATTGTCTTTTATCTGTTTACCCTTTCTATCCATCTATCTATCTACCCACCCACCAATCCATCCACCTATCCATCATTCCACCTATTACCCACCCATCCATCCATCCGTCCATCCTTCCATCCATCCATCCATCTTTCCATCTACCTATCCTTCCAGTCAGCCATTGTATCTATCTATCCTATTCAAACCACCTACCTGTCTTCTACCTGAGCAGTCAACTCCTAGACCTTTCTCCAGACAACCAATCCAAGGCATTTAAAATGCATGTTCTGAAAGCCAATCCATTATTTTCTAGAGAAAAGTTCTCCCTGAGGTCACTGGGGAGAAAGCACCCATTTTATTCACCACATCCTTTGCCTTCCCACCTATTTAAATTTCATCATGATTCATACTTTCATCACCCAGGCTGATAGCTCTCAAATCTTTGTCTTCCATTCAGGTTGACTCCATGAGCCTCAGACCCTGGAAAACTTCTAGATACCTCTCCTTCATGCCACAATGGACACCTCCAACTCAGTGTTTCTCACACTAATCTTATAACCTTTGTGCAAAACTATTTCTCTTTCTGTGATTCCTAGATCATGGATGTGACCTAGAGCACGGATGTGATCTAGAAATGTCCAGGCAAGAAAATGGCACTCATGCTTGATGCCTCCCTTGTTAGCCTCGTCCTGGTCTTAGTGAGTTTATCTTCTGAATGTCACACGAACCTCCCCACTTATTTCTGTTGCAGTATCACCTTAGTCTGGGCCACTGTTGCCTGTCCCCTGTACTTCCTGGAGTCATCTCTGTCCAGGGTCCCTGACTCCTGGCTCTTCCTCACAGTTCCTAACAGCACATGTTCTAACATCCAAATATGACGCTAGTCCTTGACTCAAAATTCTTTCAAGGCTTCTTATGAAGTTCCAAATCTCAAGACAATTCAGGCGCCTCTGCAGTCTCACTTCTCAACACATTTCCTCAGGCCCCCAGAGACTCTGCGATAGAGTCCCACACTTGGTGCTCTTTCTTCTCTCTAGGCCCCTTTCCTCTCTCTAACTTCATTTCTTTGCCTAATTTCTATTCACTGGATAGGACAACTTCTCCTCTAGTTTTTTCTGACCAACCCTTGTTCTGAAGTTCAGCCGCTATTCTCAGTCCCAGTGGCAGTTCCAGGTGGCCCCGTCATGGTCCTCTTCACTCTGAGTCCCTGTTTCCACTCTACATGCTTACATCTCCTACCACTCTGACCTTTAAGTGATGCTACCATCCAGAACAGGGTGTAATAGATATGATCACTGGCTGACTGACTGACTGACTGACTGAAGGAAGGAAGGAAGCAAGGAAGGAAGGAAACCTGGTGATAGTCCATGAAGACAGGTCTATGTTGAAGGGGTCTGGTGAGCTCAGGAGATGGGGTCTGGTTAGATTATGAAAGCAGAACTCTCTGGGGGTAGCTGAGGATTAGGGGCAAAGGTACCATCGTTCCAAAGGGCAATGTATTTATTTTCCAAAGCCATACCCAAGCCCTTTCAGACACAGAAATGAATACCCATCTGTGGGAGCAGCAATGGTGGTGTGTATTGTGAGACAGAGGCTGGGTTCCTGTCCCAGCTGTGCCCAGGAAGAACCCATCAGGCCAGAAGCCTCACTTGCTTTTTTTTTTTTTTTTTTTTTTAGAAGGTCATGGGTGGGTCCAAGGACCTCAGAAGTGCCCTTCATCCCTAACCCATTTCTGCCAAGGTGGCTGTCTCAGCTCGTTCTGTGCTCACAGATGGGAGTGGCACTAGGGAAAACCCCCCGGGCCAAAAACCCCCCTTTTGCTTTTTTTTTTTTTTTTTTTTTCTAGAAGGTCATGGGTGGGTCCAAGGACCTCAGAAGTGCCCTTCATCCCTAACCCATTTCTGCCAAGGTGGCTGTCTCAGCTCGTTCTGTGCTCACAGATGGGAGTGGCACTTCCCAAAGCAGAATTTCTCAGAGCTAAAGATCAGATGTGCAGGGTGGATGGAGATAGAACAACACGACCTACCTGAGAGGATGAAGAAGATGCCAGAGACAAAGGCCAGTATGGTCCTGTGGGGGCGGATGTGCCCAATGTTGCTCAGGATGAACCCGATGAACATGAAGAAGAGGCTGACGAGTGGGAATGGGGTGGCGGAGCGAATCATTTCTAATGTGGGGGCAAAGGGACAGCCCGTCAGGCTACAGCAGTGACCTTCCTCCCTTGCCTCATTCCGGGAAGTATGTTCCGGCAATGTCTACCAACAGATCCTCGAAGCCCTCGAAGGCCTCCCACACAGGTGGCCTTGGGGTCTCCTGGTGCTGGCAGGGATTCTGTCCCCAACACAGGGCTGCAAGGACTGACTCCAACTGTCAACATATTCAGAGATTTGTCACCCTTCAGGCAAAAGCTCCTCTCCCAATAATCTACATTGCCTGTCTATAGGAGAGCCGTGAGAAGCCTGGTCATGTCATCTTACCTCATCTTCGAGAGGCTCCACCATTTCCAAGGATACAGGGCATGCTCTGAGTGTTACGGGGGACTAGCACTGGCCTCTTTCTTTTTCAATTTATAATCACTGGGGAGTTCTACTGAGATCAACTGGGGAGAGCAATGGAATTTATGCTTACTGGTTACTCAGGATGGGGGCAGGGAAGAGCAACCACATTGATTAGAAGATTGGGACCTGGGGCCATGTGACATGAGCCTGACCTGAGGAGGGAAGGGGCTGACACTGGATTTAGTCATTCACACCATAGCAGATATTAGCCACTATTTAGAGACTATTTGAAGACTGCAGGACAAGCGTGTTGGTGGTTATATGCACTTGAAGTATCAGGCCATTTTATATAACAGATGTCAGTGTTCATAGGTGTTTGTATTCAGAGGGTCCTGGACCAACTCTAACAGACCAAGGGGATGAACTGTCTTGTGACACTGCAAGTTCATGCTGAGTGCCGGAGCAAGTCTATCGAGGTCAAGGTCATAAAGTCAGTCTTGGTACAGTCCAGGGAGGCTGCTTCAGTCCGGGAGTGAGTGAGTGTTCCTTCACTTTCTGGGGTCAGAGATATGGGGGTCCCAGCCATCTATCTTCACCCTGGAAAGGAGAGCCTGCAGAGCACTGCTAGGGAATGAGACCAGCAGAGCCAGCTAAGGCCCAGGGCACTAGCTCCTGAGAACATTCTGGATGTTTGACTTTTCCCTTTGTCTGGCTCTCTGTCCCACCAGTGGCCCAGCTTAGAATGTTCTAAACACCTACTTAGGACATTGACTGTGGATTCTGATGTTATCTGGTTGCTCATGGGCATCACATACTCTATGGTGAAACAGCGTCCTCTCTCCTCACCTGTGGAGACAAGAAATTACCACTATTTCCAGGTTCCACTCCAACATGGATTCGAGGTTAGGACATTCCCAATGCTTCTAGGATCCTTGGGCCTGGGTTTCTGTACCTGGACTGGGTAAACACTCTAGGGAAGTTTTCATCCCTTGGCTGGTGGCCCATGGCAGCAGATGGGAAACATGTCTTGATGCCACTTTCTTCCCGGAGGGAGGACTGAAGCTTGGGAAGAGGTCAGCACTGTGAAATCTATGCCAGACAAACATCTGGTGCCTCTGTTACTTTTGACTGGGGATGGTGCATGGCTGTCTCGGATGAGTGTAGATTTTTGTGCAATAACCTCCCACCACAACCTTGTCAGTCAGACCCTGGTGGCCTCAAACTCTGCTTCTGGAGATGGATGGCACAGCATCGGGGGCAGTGGGAGATGAGGTCAGAATTGGAAGCTGCTCCTAAAACAGACCCTACAGTGACACAGGGTAGCCAGGCTGGTTCGGGTTGTGTCCTTTGTGCTAAACTCCATCCAACCTCTGGCCTATCCATCAAAACCCTAGCATGAAGGTGGGAGAAAAAGCTGAGGGAAGGAAGCTGTGTCTTTTCTCAATGCACATACAGGTTCCAGGATCCCACAAGAGAAGCTCAGGGACCATGCTGTGGCTATCCCGGCCCTCATAGCTTATACAGGTCTTGCAGGACAGGGGGATGCTACTCTTGTGAAGGGTGAAACTCAGCCGTGATAAAGGCCTCGAAGACAGAGGACTCTTGGCCTAGCAACTCACTTGGTTCTGGAGAATCCCGAGCCACAATAGCAAGTACAAAACTTGTAACTTCCTGGAAAGACCCCATTTATGTTTTCTTTGTGCAGCCATTCCACAGACAGAGGAATAGGAAGCTGTTGAGCATTTCCTGTTTCTTAACCTTGTGGATATCAGTGAAGCAGGAGTCTAGATGAGCTTAACCCGCTCATCACTTCCTCGTTTATAGAGTGGCAGTGATAAGCCTTCCTTGCAGTGTCATGGTGAAAATGATGTGTGAAATAATAACATGATCTTGCAGGTAAGGTCTGCAAGAGTGACTAGTTCTGAGGCATCACTCAGTGCTGAAACACAGGGTATGGAAAAACCAGGCTTGTGAGGATCTTTTAGAAGGGAAGCAAACCCTGGGACTTGAGGGAGATTGCTCTCTGGACATTGTGAACCAGGATCTGAGTTTGGGTATGTGATCTGGTGGCTGCTTGCAGCACTGCCCAGAGTTGGTGGAGATTGTCTACGCTGAACTGTCTACTGGCATCTTCTGGGTGTCTCTAAGCAGGGAGAAATCTCCTTGGGGCATGTATCCCCCAGGGCAGGACTGTCCTTACCAGCGAGGAAGCAGACCCGCCATAGGCCCGAGTGCAGAGACATCTTGACCTCTGTGCTCTGGTTCTGAGGAAGGATGATGCCTTCCTCCAGGTACAGCCAGTAGTCCGTGCTGACTGCGATGCCCAGCAGGCCCAGGCCACAGACAGCAAAGACACTGCTCAGCAAGGTCAGGGCCTTCCTCCCACAGGCGCTCATCTTCGTGGATGATCTCTGGGCAGCCAGCAGTGCAGTCTCAAGGGGACAATGGTCTATGGGGACAGGGAGGGAGCGTGAGCAGGAGGCAGTGAACAGTAACTCAAGTCAGTCTGCTTTGGGTCAGTGAATGAATAAGAGCAGCTAGGCTACTTCCCAGTTTCCACACCATCTCCACATAAGGGTGACTCTCCCTCTGCCCCTCAGGGATTCAGAGATACAGTAAGGCTACTGTATCTATCCCCTTGTCTGCTAAGTTCCCCTTACTACACATTACCATCCATCTTTCCATCCATCTTTCCATCTATCCATCCATCCATTTGTCCATCCATCCATCCATCCATCCATCCTATCAGATATGAGAGATACTATGATGAGCGTTCTACCCTTGCTCTTGAAGAACTACCTCTGCAGAACAATGGTGCCCCCAAAGCAGTCCAATGTAACACACTGTGGGCCATGGCTGAGACATCAGACAGGAAAAAGTGGGGATCAAGTTCTCTGGGTGGGTCCCTCTGAGTTGTCAAGGACACTAGGGATCAACTGCTTTCTGACAGCAGACTCCAGAAGTGGGCAGCAGCCTTGGGAAGACACAAAGGGACAGAGAAGGCTGCTTGTGGGGAGCATTTCTCTGATCCAATTGGAGAGTGGGTGAGCACAGGTAAAGCAGCCTGAACAAAGGTCAATTTAACAGGCCTTCCATATCTACCTGAGTGGATGGGGAATGACTGTTCTCTGCCCAGAGCTTTGAACTATAGGGAGAAAAGCTGAGAGTCTGCAAGGTGAGCCATGAATTCATTTGATGCTCCCAGAGGTTAGGGGGGTAGTGGGGAGTAGAGCAGATGGATGCTAGCCCCATAGAGCCCATGGCCTGGCTTGGGGTTTCTACACTATGGCTGCAACCCAGACTAACCCAGGAGTGTCTAAGAATCCTTTATTCTGGATTGCCTCACAGAGTCTGCTATGGTCCAGAGTGTTCATCAGGACCTGAGTGACAACATTGAAAAAGTGCTCCCAGGTAATTCTAACAAAAAGCTGAAGTTGAGAAAAATTCATCTTTGCTGTTCCAAGGACCTGCAGCATTGGCATCGCCAGGGGGCTGGTTTGAAAACCAGCCACTGAACCCTCCAACGTTCTGTTATGGGTTAGATCTGAAATGATCCCCCATAAGCTTGTGTTTTTGATTACTTGGGTCCTAGCTGCTAGTGCTGTTTGGGGGGAGTTATGAAACCTTTGGTACTCTGGTCCAGCTAGCAGAAATGGGACATTGGGGACAGACCATGGGATTATATCTGCCTCTGGTCCTTGCTTCACCAAGATGTGAGGAGGCTCTTCCTCTGCCACGAGCTCCATGCCTTTCTCCCTACGATGTATGGACTGGAGCCACAAACCCAAATAAATCTTCCATCCATTAAGTTGCCTCTACTGGGTATTTTGTGATAGTGACAAGAAACGTGGCTAATGAGAATCTGCATTTTAAGAAGACCCAGGTGAGTTTGTCTGCCAGCTAAAGTCTGAGAAATGCTGTGCCAAGTTAACAGGAGACAGCATTGCAGCATGGCACCTGTTGTGACAGAGTACAGTGCCAGCCTGATTAGATTTAGTCACCATGGAAACACACCTCTGGGTATGTTGTGAGGACATCTCCAGAAAGGTTTAACAGAAGGGGAAGACCCAACCTGATCATGGACAGCAGCACCTGTAGGGCCCCGCCCTAAACTGACTGAAAAGGGAGCTGAGTATGTTCATTCACCTCTCCTTGCTTCCGACAGGAACCATGTGACCAGCTTCTCATGCTACTGCCGCCATGATTTCACCACCACAGTGGACTGTGTTCCCTCAGACTGTGAGCCAAAACAAATTCTTCCTTACGTTGCTTTTGTCATGCATTTTTTTAACAATGAAAAAAGTTAATGATCTATAAGAAAGCTCAGACTGTGACCCAAGCCCAGAACAATGCAGGCAGAGCCACTTCTAAGGTGACAAAGACAGGGGTCACACTTATAGCAGCTCTGCCACAAAGTTCCAATGGTGTGGGTAACTTAGTGTTACAAGGTTAGAGACTTAGAAATAGTTCGGCATTGTCTTGGTAGGGTCCACCAAGCATAGGGCCTGGGTGGTGTCCCGAGGATCCTACCAAGTGATGATGTCATGCCTTGGGTGAAATCTAAGCCTAGGTGGATGCCAACATACCTGAAAGCATCAGAGGCCAGGTTCGTCTGTAAAGTTGAGTTCACTGCTAGGTGGCAGGGGACAGGGTGTTGGTGTTCTTTGCCTGGACGGGGTCATGCCCCAGCAGCAGGCCTACCCTAGCAGCTGACCATGGCAGAGTTGGGAGGATTATGGAATGCACCGTCATGCTCTGGAGGTGCGTAAAGGCAGGAGTCTGCAAGGCAGGAGAGTGTGGAAGGCTCTACAACCTTTCCTGCATTGGCATTGACAAGGAAGGGGAAAGTGAAACGCTGAGGGCCAGAGCAGTAGTTCTGTGGAACATCCTAGTTGTCGGGGTAAGGGGTCAGCAGGCACTGTATCTTGGTTTTGAAGAATTGCATTGCATGGAGTAAAGACAACATGGTTTACTTTCACTTACTCCAAATTTCCCCAGACTTATCTGGCCACAAAAGGGGCCTGGGAAACCCATTTTGGGAGCCATATCGCTCCTCTAAAGGATAAACAAAACAAAACAAAAACCTGTTCTGCCCCCTCCCCAGAATCCTGGGTGATTAACTGCCATGGTGGATAGGACTAAAGCTTGCAAAAGCCAAAGCTGGACCCTGTGTAGGGTATTATCATTCAGTAACAATGGACTAATACCCCGCTTTTCACAGAGTAGACAGATCAGGATGCCTGAAATACGACAGCTGTTGCCCGGTGGAAGCTGAGCAGCCAATTTTAATGTTAAGCTTGGCAGAGATGAGAAAGATGTGGGTCTTAGAGATTTGGAGAGATGAAAGTGGAGAGGAGATTGGATCCGAATCACTAAAGCAAAGCATAAAAGAGGCTGAAGGTGACCTGGCCTGAGAACTCTACAAGAACAGGCCCTAAAGTCTGGAGTGTGCTTAGGCAAACCCCAAGAGTCCCCTCCCTTTCTGGGGAATGGGACAAGTGCATGGGGAGCAGAGGTGAAAAGCAAAGAAATCTAGCAGCTCACTGCAAACATAGTTATGCTTTTATTGTGACATCACATTTATTTATAAGGTACCGACTGTCAATGACTGCACAAAGCCCTCACCAATCCCTTGAGGACCCCCTGAGTAGGTAGTATTAACCTCATTTCACAGATGGGGAAACTGAGGCTTAGAGGTGTCAAGAAGCCTACAGGATATCATTGGTGGAAGACTGGATTGAAGCCAGGTCCAACTCCAAACTCTCTGCCTAGACCGTATGGTTTTCAATTGGAGAAATGAATGGGTTCAAGGAGTGTTCAGGCGGCAGAGAAACATGCAAAGAGGACATTTGAGAGTCTAGAGATACATAAGAAACAGGTCTTTAGATCATTTTCTAAATGATCCAGTATTACATAAGGGTTAGAGTAACAAATATTTTGGGGCTTCCTGTGGGATGCCGCGGGGCTGTAGCTTCTGGTATCATTTCCATGATGGACCACTGTGACTCAGCATTTCTGATTCCAAAAACCATGTTGTAAGCAATGAGACTAATATTACCCTAGACCCCACGTCAGGCAATCAGGTTCCAGAAGGCAGAAGTGCCAGAGATAAACCAGTCTGTTATTCCAAGGAACAAAAGCACAGGATACCAATATACGGACAGATCTTTTACAGGATTTCTGGGGATCAAAGTCAGTTTCTCAGGCTTGTTCCATAAACATGTCACTCACTCATCAAGCCATCTCCCTCACCCTGTTCTTCTGATGCCTGCATCTCTGTCTCCAGACTCTCATCCCTCTACAGCCATAGCTCCCCCCCCCCCTCATGATGGGAGAGGAGAACAATTGTTTAAGTTGCTCCCACATGAGAACTGTTTACCTTAGGATGGTCAATGAACAGAGCAGACGCCTGGCTATGTGAAAAATCTACAGACTGGGAAGAAAGAAAGCAATATCAACAGAAGATGCCCCGGGTAATAAGGTTATATGTGTTTTATGTTCTTTATGCTTTTCTGTGCTCCAGAGGGTTCTAAAAGAACACACATTCTTTCTGCAGCCAAAGAACATTAGATTAAAGATTAGAGACATAACTTCTCTGACCACTGCTATCCAAAACAAAAATGAAGGGTGCCAGCTCCCTCCTGGACTGAAGCAGTGTCATCCTTTGGAACCTGGGGACCGGAAACACGGTGGTTTTGTATGGTTTATGATGATTGCCGGTGCCATTACCTCTAAGTATCAGCTTGCTAATGATCAGGAATTAACGGCTGCTAATTATCATCCATGACCGGCAATTAGAGACAAATGTCTTGTGGAGATTAAATCACTAATGGTACATTTCCCTGCCCAAGCCAGTCATGAAAGGACTTGGAAATGCAGTGCTCAGGGACTTGGGGGTAGGTGACGAAGTAGGTACAAAGGATTGTAGGGAAGAAGGGCGAGGTTCATTTGAAGAACAGTAGAAGGACAGTCAAATAAAGACACCCTGGTATAGTGGCATCTTGCCTTGCCAGTGAACTTGTAGTGGCCACACCCTTTTGACCCTTTTAAGGTAGAGGAGCTGCTGTTAAGATGCCGCTACACCCTGAGTCAATACGTGGCTGGTTCAGAGAAATCCAATAGAGCTTTGATGAAGGGTTTGGGGAGTAGGGACTGTTGACCAGGCTTTGGAACTGGTGACAGCTGCTCTTCTGAACTGGTCCATTGACTTAGCACTGGTATGGTCAGCAGCCAGCAGGAGAAGGTGATCAGAGGACAGCCAGAGAGTCCTGGTCCCCTGCCTGCTTCCTACCAGGATGTTATCTTCTAGGAGAGTTAAAAACAATGACCTCTTGTAGAGGACCCAGGTTTGGTTCTCAGGACCCACATGGTGGCTCACAACAATCTGTAACCCCAG